GGCTCTCCAGAGAATAAAGAGCAGCTCTGTTCCCTGGGCCTGCTGCACGGGATTCAGCCACTGTTCACCCTCTGCTCCTCAGACAATACCCATTGTTCGGCTTTTTAATGAAGAAGAGTCGACATGGAAAAACTAGGCGGGTTAGCTTAGTCACTTCCTGGGTCCGGTATAGCAGGGTAGGAGACGCAGGGATCACTGTGTTTGCACAAGCTAATATACAGCCTGTCAAATTCTCCAATTCAAACAGTCAGAGTACATAATGTTAATATCTAACTTGATTAAACGTTTATCTATTTTTTTCAGTCTTTTCAGGGGTTTTTTGTACAGGATAAAGAAACACCAACATAAAGTATCTTGGTAGGGTGTCTGTGTGAAAGCTTCTGCACTCACTTGTTTAGATTCTCCCTTTAATTGTGTCACCCATCTGTGCATACACCCACATGCGTGAATTAGAGTATGTGTAGATACTGAATTAGAAAATAGTAGTTTGGAAAAAAGGTGCAACAAACATTTAAAAAAAAACATCTTTCCCACAACACTACAATGTTAGTGGGGAACAATGACAAGGCAAATGTTTAAAGCAGCATTAACCAGTGTTTTGGGTCAGAATGTTACAAGCTAGACATAACACGCACATTTGACACACTATGGTCAAATTAAGCTGCTATGCCTAATGCTGACTATTCACACACAGATAAAAAGCAACATTTGTATTTGAGTCGAGTTTCTGACCACCTGGCAATTTAAAGTCAAGTATTCATTCTTCTGTAGCTCTGTTTTGGTCTCTACTCTAAAAAACATCTTAGTGTTTAGTTGCTAGATGTTCACCAGCTAGTTGCTAACTTTGTTTGTGTCCAGGTAACATAGAGTTTATCAGAACAGCTGCCTGCTGCAGCTGGAAACAACGCTGATAAAAGCAGTGAGAGCGAACCAAAACAGTAGCGTTTTCTGCCGTAAAAACAAAACAATGAGCTAAAAGACACTAAAACTATCTCTGTACTGAGGGAAACTGCAGGCGGGTGATGAATCTGTGTAGATTCTTCACTACACCTCTCACGTTACACATACTCGTTTGGCCCATTCTTATAAAAAACCATTGATTTGAGCAGCTTTAAATACACTTCCCAGTGCAGTTTTTAAAGCTCTGTTTAGTTTTGTTGAAGTACAGCTTAATAGGTTGTGTTTCATGTTGTGCAGGTAAAAAGCACAGCCAGCTTGAACCTGGCAATGTGACAAATTAGACCTCAGTTGAACATGAAGGCTACTCATGTGATTAATGTAGGGAGTAGATTTCAGATGCAGGGCCTCGCAGCTCAGCAACAGCAGCTCGGGGTGCTTCAACAGCCTTTAAACAAAGCAGCTTAGATGTAATCTGGGCAGACTATTGAGAAGAGCAGCCACAACGGCAGCTAAGCCTATAGTCCTCCATATGGCATTTAAACAAGCAGTGGTTGTAAACTTCTCTGCCTCCCTGATAGCAGTGACTACGAGTATGGTAGCCTGGATGTGGCTACAGTCTAAATTGATGTCAACTCTATGGTTAGCTGAGACAGAGGAGCAGACATGAGGCCTGAGCTGAATTCCTGTTACACAGAGTCATTTTCCTGTGGTTTAACTTGAAGCATATAGACTGGCTCATACTGTACATGTGACTCAGAGATTGATTGCAGTCATTTCACATGCTTTCAGCCAGTATGCACTTATAGACCAAGAGGAAAAATTGCCACTTTGAAGTGTTGGTTATACCCTATAATGGTTGGCTAAATGACAATGTTGGTTGGATTGATTAGGCAATAAGTGCAGACTAAATTGATCTACCGGGATGTTGATATGACCAGCCATAAAGTAAATCCAGTGGGATATCAGCACTGTGCTGAGAAGAGTAAACATTAAGAGGTCTGCCCTGATAGCGGCTAATCATCATGTGCAACCCATCTCCTTCTTGTAGACTTGTCTCACCAATACTATGGCAACCATAAGAGGGGTGAAGGCTTGCAAACACACTTTCCAAAGTAATTACAGAGCCATTTTGGCTGGATTGTGTATAGGGAAAAACGAAGCCCTCAAAACTCTACCTTCCAGTAATATTCACAAGACATACAGAGCAACGAGCAGGCACAGTAAACTGCTTACTGAACAACCTGTAAACAATGAATTAATTCCTGGGACTCCAGCTTTGGAAATCTATCCCCTTTAGTACTTTAAACAATTAATATTTAGGTTTAAACTGCACCTCACTTCATGGCCAAGGTCACATGTGAATTAGCCTCTCTTATCATGGCAGAGGCCTTGCATTACAATTAGCCTAAGTCTATTTCAAAGATCCACCCTTGGCTCCAGGGATTCACGAGACAGACTTCAATGGGAGCGTTTCTCTTTAGTAAGGAAATGCTGACTCAGCCGGCAGCAAACCCAGTAGATTTTCCAGAAAGTAGCACCACGATAATACATAGCCATATCCCTGCATGTGACTTACACTAAAAAGTTAAAATATCGAACTGGAAATACTAATACGCATGCTGGCAAATGCTGGTTTGCACACACAACCACATCCTAGCGGGTGTTTCTAGTGTTTCTAAAAATCCTATTTTTTGTTTGCATAGATAAACTTTAAACTATCAAACCTAGCTTTAAAAGCTCCAGTATATAGGATTTAGTGGCATCTAGCAGGGTAGTTGCAGATCGCTACTCAGTCGCTTCACCCTCCCCTTCCAAGCACGAAGGAGAAACTATGGTGGCACGCAACAAACGCAAAATCTAGAGCCAGGGTTTGGTAAAATGCTCCTGAAATGTAAAACATATAGAACTGTAAGATGTATTTCATACATGTGGTTACACTGAACTGTGGTCTGCTCAGATAAAGGAAGTCATGTGTCAACGTTTGAAAGGAGGCTTTCTACATCACACAACATATTAGGAGTGGTGCTGTTCTATCACGCCCAGATTGAACATGTTACGGGAAGACTCTGCATCAAGTCCAAAATCTGTGTGCACATGTAATTGTTGGTAACCACTGATACGTTGGGATACAAAAGTTGGTCCGAGAGGCGTGGCGAGGTATCATCCTAATCATCTGCTATTCAAACTCAAGTGAGGTCATCAGAGTCACACAGTGCCACTCGCTCTGGCAATCAATGGAGCCAACTGCCATCAGGCACGGCTGAGACACATTAGGGTTTAAATGGCAGTAAATAACGCTAAACGCTGTGATTATAGCACTAAATTCTTCTAATGCTGGAGGGCTTCCATCCCGCCAAGAGCTGAGGCATCATGCTGGCAACGGGGAGGAAAAAGGGAGGGAGTGGGGGAGTTCCTGACATGCTACGAGGATCGGCTTTTCTGACAGCCAGCCTCACGAAATCCGCGAGTTAGACAGGTAGATTTTGTTTTTCTTTCTGGAAAGCATAACAAGGATTAGCTTTGTAAACCACACTTATAGATCCTTATCATTTCCTCACCCCTGACATTTACTGCTACAGACCCAGATTCAAGAGGAGAAACCCTAATGTTTAGAAACTGTAGTAAGTAGGTGACTCTAAAAGCAGACGTGATTAAAGAAGAAGGCCCAAATCCCTCTGTGGCGTGACGTCAAACCTCCCTACGCCGAAGTCTGCTGCCTCCCGCACAGAATGGGATTCATCAGCGTCTGACAAGCAGCAATCACACCCCAACACAACACTGTAACACACACAGAGATTTGACTTCCACCTCAACTTGATCCACTTTCTGTAATGGGCTTACAGGCTGAAAGATCTGTGTCACCTATATAACAAAAACAAAAGCTCTGGACCAGACGAAAACAGCGAAAGATGGACCAATTAAACCTTTTTCCTCATCTTAAAAGTTTGCAGATTCGAGAGCCTGCATCGCTACGGTCGGATTCCTTCTGCTGAGCAGCCAGTGTTTATGAGAGCAGTGGGCCAGGCGACGATCACGTTTGACCCACATTTTGCCAGCTCTCAAATTTCACCATCACCCTACTGTTCTTCTGTTTAGCCTTTTTTTTTCTCCTCTGACTGGGGAGCTGTGTGCTGGAAATTCTCCTTATCAGCAAAAAGTTCATTATGGCCTACATAATGATGCTTTAGAGCACAAGAGAGCATGGTGAATAATGATTTAGTCCCAAAGCTCCGTCCTTCTTACAACTAAATTGCCACAAATCAGTCAACATATTGGTGATTGATAAGCTTTTGAACACACCACCATCATTATGAAACTTTTCATCTTAATTTACGTCTTTTTTTAAATTCAAAACAAAGTGTTCATCGTACATCAAATCCTCTTTAAGCGCTTTAAAATATGAAGGCTCTTTCAACAGCACGAGGAATGTTAAGCGCTCACTCCCCAGGTAACATAATTGTTGACAGACGCTGTTGACACTTTATGATGTGACAGATGTTTCAAAAGGACCTGGCATGCTGGGTACTTAGAGCTTTCAGTAGTGAGCCGGTGTCTGGACTCATAAAGTTTGGGGGGGGCGGTTGCCATAAAACCAATTATTCGCTGTGTTATGACTGCAGGTGTCTCATGTGACCACACTTGGAAATTTACAGAAGCACACTCTGATCTGGACGTGAAGATTTGTATTATCTCGTATTCAAAAGGGAGGCAAAAATGTTGATGTTTGACGTGTTTCAACATGGTGCGGCTATAAAAAGGTGAATATTTTCAGATCAAGAATAATTTAATGAGAAAAAAAAACTGATTTGATTTGCAGCTGAATTCAATATGCGACAACTTTATCACTAGAGGGATAAGGGTTGAAAAGCCCTAAGACTCAAACCCAGCAGTGGCTGTGCTCTTCTTTTTTTTTTTTTTGGTCGGAATACCCCTTTTTCTGAACAACAAAGGACAGGCGTGCTGGACAAACAGAGGTCCAACCCACACACACACACACACACACCACACAGCTGTCCCGTCCCAGGACACTGAAGCATGGAGGGAACAAAGACACAGAAACAGATGAAAACCTATCTCTTTTTCCTTTTTTTTTTTCTTACCAAAACGGTTGCAAATCTCTCCTCCAGTTCACCTGGCTCGGGCATGGGCAGTTTCAGAGGCATGTTGTGTCCTCTGAAATCAGTGTGCTGGTCCATGCTCCCTGCGTTCCCCATGTTTTCCCCTCTCTGACCAACAAGTACAACTTTTCACCCCCACCACCCTCCTCCTCCTCTTCTTCCTCCTATCTCTCTTCCACTTCTTGAGGGGAAAAAAAGAAAATCTCCACACGACGAAAAAAAAGGAACAAATATTCCTCTTTAGTTGTTGTGTTTTTTGTTTTTTTTTTCCTTATCCCCCTCACAGCCTCCTTTTTATTTGTTGTTGTTGTTGTTGCAGGTTTATTATCCGATATCCTTCCTTTTCCTCTTCTTCTTCCCCTTTCCCTTCTTCCAACATAAAGCACATGTGAGGGGAAGCAGCGTAACGCGACGGTCCGAGCGGCAGCGCAGATTGCACGCGGCAGGAGGATGCGGAGGACGCCCCCGTGAGGATTCTTCACGGCGGAATGGAGGCAGAGCCTTGGGAGGAAAAAGAACTTGTCTCGATCCGCACGGACGCTTTTCCCTCGCTGTTAATCCCGTATCTTGCACAATTTCGGCTCACTCCCAGTCGGTAGTAATGACACGACCAGAGCATGGAATTTCACGCTTGTTGCAAAATCTCGTCTCCTACTCTCTTGCCCCCCCCCGCACCACCTCTCTGCTTTCTTTTGGGGTCTGTCTGTGAGTGAGTGAGTTAAAGTTGGAGCTGCTTTCACTAATCCCTTCACTGCTGACCAGCCTAGTTTAAGAGGGAGGCGGCTCTCTATCACTCCACACACCCACACTCACGACCACACCAACCGGGCTGCACACCACTCTCATCATCCCTACAATGAGCTCTTTCAGGGGGGGGCGCTCACATTCTTATGCTCCGTTCTTCTCCTTTCTTTCTTCTTGGGGCGTAGCTCCCAAAGCCGTAGCTAAGGAGATGATATTTTCTGTGTTGCATTGTGGTATTTTGAGTCCACTGTGAGAGGCAAAAAACTAAAACATTTTTACTCTATGTATGTTTTTTCTTGAGTTTATGTACATTAAAATGGTCGTTCAAGGTGCTAATTGGATGTATTGATTTGTTGATTGTAGGACCATTGCAGTGCCACTGGATGCTTTAGAACATAAAAGTGCTGGAAGAACTCAGATCCTTTAATCAAGTAGAAATACCATAATCTTAAAATACTCCATTACATGTAAAAGTCCTGAAAGGTTCAGAAGTATAATCAGCCAAATGTACTAAAAGTATCAAAAGTAAAAGTACTCATTCTGCATAATGGATCCCTTCACATTATTATATTATGATAGAATATTATATAATTCTGTTTTTATACCTAGCAAATACATGTAAGAGCATTTTAATAAGATAAAATAAGATCATCCTTTATTGATCGCCCAGAGGGGGAATTCAGAGATAGAGGTAAAGCCAAATATAAACTTTTAAAATGGTATAAAAAGTGTAAAAGTGTATAAAATAAAAATAAGAATGGGGATGGGAATGATAAGAATGTGTATGTCTTGTCTGACAAATGGAAAAAATCTCTATAAATAAAGTGTGAAAAGAAAAAACATATACAAGCAATTGTACCCACAACTAGTGTTGTACTTGAAATGTTGTCCATGTTGTAGTCTGTTAACATTGAGCCAATTATAGACACTTTGTATATTACAGGGTAGTTACCCTCTGAATGTAGTGGAGTATAAAGTACCATAAAGTGGAAATACTCAAGTAAAGCACATGTATGTCAAAATTGTACGATACCTGAGTAAATGTAAACTCCACCACTGGAAAATAATATTATATTAAAATTTTCATTAAGCAATTACTCTTAAAACCTTCTCTTCAAAATGTGGAAAGTTTATGATATGTATCATTTGTCACATTTTTGTGATCACAGATTTGCCAGATTAACTATCATATTAAACAATATTTTCCAAAATAGTGAATGAGTAAACCAGCCACTCCAGTCATTGCATAAGTACTAGATTTAGTAATGATAATACATGTGTGTTATTGGTTCTGCCTGTGAAAAGTGAGAAATGTAGCCATTTACTAGGATATGACTATTTAACTGAATCATTCTCAGCACAGTGGGAAAAATTAAGTTTGTGTCATTCAGTAGTAGGAAAAGACATGAGCAGTTCTCACATATTTGAGGTTAACCAGACTAACCATCATATTATACAATTATTCCTAAACTAGCAATTCCAACAACAACTCAGTCAATGTGTCACTACTTATGATTATGATGATCTAATTGTTACAGAAGACATTTTGACGTGCCATAGCAGGAGTTGTGGAGGTGTAACTAACAACTGTTGTATCTCCTTTCAGTATAAATGTCCCAGTGAGATAACATGCACATCGCCAAGACCCTGGAACTGGCACACCTGAGTGTAATGCAGCAATTATGATCATTATTGGTGTCACACCTGTGTCCGACAAGAGGAAATGTCTCATAAAGTAGTAATTACTCTTGTAAATAAACTACTTTAAAACAGCATGATAAATATGAGCTGTATCCTGAGTTAAAGCATGAAAATTAAATCATATGTTTTCTTTGTTTTCGTTCTTCTCCCATCTATTGTGTATATCTGTCAATCTGGGTGGCAAGATACAGTGTGAGTGTTGTTGCGTTAATAATCTCAGATTATTAGGGTTCCATGTTTTTAGTGGCTCTCTGGCAAACTGAGGAAGAGATTTCATTTATTTCATTTTCCAGAATTGAATACTTATACCTGGGGGGAATGTGTGATTAGTTTAACTTTTGCTGTCCCGTCCTTTTCTCTAGTATCTTTCTCCAGCCAACATCCATGAGACAAAACCTTTAGCAACAGGTCTTTTGACCAGATTATATCTAAAAAAAAATCCCTGAGAAATCCCAGAGTGAGAGCAATGGGCCTTTTTCACAAAAGACATTTTGACCAAACAATCACGTGGAAATAATGAAATTATTGACGGTTGAATTTCATTTAGCTGCTTCAGTTTCATGGTCCTTGAATTGTTCGTGCTGGCTCATTGTCACACTGTCATCGCTTACTGGGATATCTGAAAACAACAGATCCTTTTTACTAAGACAAGTCAAAAGGTCTGCTGTGAGAAAGACGTGATCACACAAAATGATCCAATATCCCTGCACGCTCAACAGTGTCTCTGGCACTCGTTCACTCGTAACTTATAGAAAAACTCAAGAATTATTATTATTATAACTACAGCTTTATGATAACACAGTCACTGACACGTTTATTCCCCCGTCAAGATCTCAACGTGCATTCGGATGAAATCTGATCTGCTGACAGGGTGGAGACCACATTACGCACAAGAGGGTGACATCAGCATGCAGAGCTCTGGAGACAATCCAGAGGTTTTCCAGATGCACAGTGGTTTCATTCAGGCTGCAGGACTGATTCAACAGGGGAGGGTGTCACATCTGAGGTTGTTGGCTGGACACACTGAGGATGCAAAACACAGCTGACTGACCTCATATGATCATTACGTGTTCTGTCTGAAGACCACTCCCCCTGTGTTGTGTACTGCGTGGACCGTGTACTGCATGTTTATCCCCTTATGTGATTTTCTTAGAGGATGCTGCTCATTCTGGTGTTCATTCACATTGGTAACGCATCAAGAATGCATGCATGCAATTCAGCCCAACAAATACATATAGGACCAGTGTTTGGATAAAACAAAAATAGAATAATTTGTATAAGTACATCCAGTATTTAGGGTTAAAAGTATTAAAATGTTATTAAACTATAACATATTAAGTAATGTTTACATGTAGTGTGCACATATATATAATAGAAATATTGGCAGACCATCTATAGATATGTTATTTAATGTAAGGTTATGTAATATACAAATAATTAAATAATGAGAGAATGTTGAATGAAAGGGAGGACATTGGTGTATTTTAACAAACCTGCTAGAGAGCCAGTTGGCCCCTGTTCACCCCCTGTTCCTCCTCTATTCTGTGCATGTGTAGTATTCCCATGTTTGCTGTGTTGTAATCTAGGGACCTTCACCGTTTAAGCACAGCATCACAATGTTATTCTAGATTAAAACACACTGACTGTCTTGAAAACAGGGCCCCAATATCACATAATAAACCAGGAGCCACCTGAAGGCCCTTATCTTATAAGTTTAAAATGTGCTTTAATTGTTACACAGTGGAGCTGTGACTTCAGGGGCCCCTCGAGGTCTGGAGGTGCAGAGCTGTTGCATGTTTTCTAGCCCTGTGAAGGAAGGAGGGACAAGCTTAGCTCTAATTTAATTCTGTGTTTCATGCACAGAAGCCTACGTATGTTATTTATGAACATAAACTTATGTAACACTCATTTCTTCTTCATATCAAAACAAAAAAATCCTTTGTATTCTAAACACATGTAAGTGTCTGTGTACGGACGCAATAATCCCCCTATTGTCCCAATAATAAACAAATGGAGTTTACTGTACACTGACAGCAGAGCAGTGCATGGCATGAGCTAGACAATAAGCTCTCAAACTATAACAATAATACATAGTGTCCCTCCATTATCAGCAGTGGATAACACAATCGAGGGTATGTGCAGCCTTACACACGTCCTTGTCTGACACAGCTGATGGTGACTCAGCACAAAAAACGATAATGTGTTGATGGGATTCTTATTTGTTACAGTTAATGTCTGTGTGTCCTTCTACTGCTCAAGAGAGATTGGGTAATAAAATACATACATGCCCTCTAAATATGAAGAATATGTTGTTCTTTTGGTATATTTAGCCCTGTAGCTTATTCCAAGAGGACTCAAATTCAGTTGATCACAAACGATTTGGGAAAATAGCACCAGGAAGACAAAATAAAAAACGTTCCTTGAAATATTGATGAAATACAGCAGCTCTGCACAATATATATTCTTCCAGGAAGCTGTGCATTAGAAACCAGAGGAAGCTTAAACGTATGGGTGGAGGGGGCACCCTGCAGCTGTATCTCCGAGAGGTCTGGGGAAATATGTGAGGCTTCAGATATCTCCAGGAGGAAATATAAAATGCAAAGGAGATGCCAAAAATAAAGGCAGCACAATCAGACCTCTGTGTGAGGAGGCTCACAGGGAGTTCATTTGGCTGCGCAGTTAAGTAACATCTGTGAAATCAAGTTCTCTTAAATAAGAGAAGACTCATGAAGTTATGGACCTTCACAAGGCTGGAGTGGAGCAACAAATGTGTCTTTGTATTTTAATTTAAGGGCTGGAGACATGAAGAATCAGCAGAGCAAGCAGTTATACTCTGAATCTTCAGAACAACAACGCCCTCTAATGTATGGAAAGTGTATTGCCCACTCTGGGTCAGATTGATATATTATAAAGAAAAATTTCCCTCTAATATTTTCAGCTAAATTACACAAACTTTTTAAAGAGAACAAAAACAAATATAATCAAGACGTGGACAAACCTCTGCTCCAGGGTTTCACATCTGGAGGCAATGACTCTTTAGTTTCCACAATAACATAAATTAGTGGCCAGAATGTTTATTTGCACCTCTGGTTACATAAGACAGTAACCACAGATCAAACTGTCCGCAACAGGAATGACGATTTCAACAGTCAGTGGTCCTCCCTTTCACCCTGTCGTGGCTGCATGTCTATTTACACCCAAGATTTTCCCCTGCATTGTGTAGCTAAAATATTAATTCTTTAGCAGGCGCCACACAAATGGAAGGTGCATTTCAAGAGGCTGAGTATCAAACTATATTTATTGTATACAGTATAGGGACAACAAATAATGTACAAATTAAAAAAAAAAAAAGTGTAATATCTGCCAATGTCACCTCGCAAATCTAACAAATGTTAATTATTAAAATGAAGGCAGACATTCTTATAAAACAAGATTTCTAACAACACACAAGTCAAAACAAACTAAACAGCTGTTGATAATGTTTGGATAGATTGATGGACAACACAGCACTGACTTAATATTTGTTTATACACTGATTGAAATATATATATACCCTTAGATGAGATGACTCAATTTCTGGACTGGTAAAAGCGAATTATTTTTATTCTCATGTCCTGAAAGGTGGAAGAAGAAAAAAAAAAAAATCAATTTACACATCAAGAGCACTGTTCTCCTGCTGTGCAGCAACATAGACCACTGTTACAGTCACGGTAACTTTTTACATTTATTAACCAAACCCTTTTTATAAAAGAAGACTATTCATTTAGCTTTTTGGTCCAGAAACATTACTGTACTTTATTTACCATTCACTTAAATCCGTGTTGAGTGTGACAGTATTGAGGTAAACCATCCATATGGATCTTTTTCGGCACGAGCAAGTGTTTGTTTTAGCAAATGTTGAAGGTTGAAGGTAAAATGGGCGTAGATACAACTAATTATTTACCTGTTCCTTTAAAATTCTACTAAAAGTTTGTTGTATGTCATAGCGCCATTTCCACCTATAGAGAGAAAAGCAGGCCCCCTTTCCAGCGGTTTTCCTCCATAGCAATCATATCACGCACATGAATTAAAAATAGTCAAATTTGAATGCTTACAACAATTTGGAAAACTTAAAATGAAAAGAAAAAAAAAAAAAGATTTTGGCATGGAGTTTAGCTTATGCTTTATGAAGACATGCAGGAGTTCCTCTCAACATCAGAAGAACACAGTGGGTTTTTACATTACGAGCCATATCTGATCCGAGATGTGTCCCTGCCTTGGACAATATTTCAAATCATCCATTTATGTGAATAAAACACATTAAAATAAAATAATAATAATAAGCAAAATAGATTACCCTTGCATCTCAAAGTTAGGATTGGCCCGCAAATTTGAAAAACCTCTACCTTCTTTATGTGTTTTGTGAAGAGCCTGACATGTTAGCCAAGCGGGGGGGGGGGGATTAAGTAAAAACAGAAATAAACAAATACAACATGAAAATAATGGTGTGGATGTTCTTCCAAGAGTCCACCTCCAACTTAAGAACAAACTCCTCCTGTCTGTTGTTGAAATACATCAATAGTGTCCTCATCCTCCATCTCCAGCTGTAAAAACAAGGAAAAGAATTACATCATTTATTCTACAGCTAATGTATAATATTGATCCTCGCGGACATAGAACTGGGTATCGAACCCGAATACTTTTTGGTACAGACAGGAGTCTGTGTGTGTCTTGTACTGGGCTCGTTTGAGTCACAATTTTGTAGTTCCCGATTCAAATCAACATCTGTACAAATGTATTTAGGTCATTTCTTAGATGGCTGTTTGTATTTAGACATTTCACCTTTTGCTTCTTTTGTTAAAAAAAAAAAGTTTTGTTAAGAAACTGTATTATTTTTGTTTCAGTACTTAAAATCTTGTATCCAGTGAGATGACATTTCCTTCCAGCTACATACAGTATAGTTTCACACTGATCAAACAAATCTAATCTCAAGATACATGCAGCTTTAAAGAAAGTCATTTTGAAGCAGGCCATTAGCTTAGCTTAACATTAAGAGTGGAAACGGTGAAACGGTTACCCTGGGTCTGTCCAAATAAAGTCAACATACCAACACCTTTAAAGCTCTAACAATTTCTATCTTGTTTGTTTAATCCGTAAACAAACAGAACTGTCAAAACAACTACTGCGATACTGGGAGTTACTTGCTGAAAATATGCCACATGAAACACACGTTTGAGTGGAGAGAGACTTACACAGTGGGTTGTAATTAATTATAGTTTTATTATTGGGCAGAACTGTTAGACTAATGCTTCCTATGAGCAACTAAAATCATATATGAGTTACAATAATTACTGCAATGGAGCCAAAAAAACAAGAAATTAATAGCATCAACTGTCCTTCATTTAAATCACAAGTCAACAAATAACTTACAGTTATATATTGTGCAATTCTTGCACAATGAACCGTTACTGCTGGAGGTTCAGTCTATATGTGGAAAGTTTCCATCAATTATTTGAGGATAACAAGGCGTGCAGCAAGGTCAGTGGTTCCACATAACCTACACTGTGAATAGAAACCTGTATGAAGACAACAGCAGTAATCCCACAGTGCTGTGTTTCATCAGTATGCTGTTCTGAAGCACAAACAAAACTACTAGTTTCCTCTCACAATACATTTTTGAAATTCCACAACCTGCAAAATAACTGCAGTACAATAGGTACGATAAAAGGTTTTTAAAGCAAATAACATTATGGCAAGTTATCAGGGCACGAAATCTGAGTGTTTTGAACATGATACATTAGTGTAAGTGCAAGTCGACTCTCCACTGTGTGTGTGTGTGTGAATCCTGTGGGAGTCAATTTCACTATGGATCACATGACTGGGAGAAGACAGGACAAATGACAACAGGGGTGGGTGTGAGAGGAATCATAACAACATAACAACGTCAGTTTTTATACAAATAAACGCTATTTTCTTAGTTGTTTGTTGTATATATATTAGGAATATTGAGTCCAGCTTCACCAACCTGTGCAGGTGTGTCTGTTTCATTAATTGGCTGTCCATCAAACCTAAACCTTATCTGACGAATTGACAATCCCTGTAAAAGACAGAACAGACAGAAATGGCATTTTAGTGACATTTTGCATCCAGTTACCAACTAAACAATACACGACACAGATTATTGATGTGGCAGCGTTATAATTAGTGTTATTAATGAAGTCAGCTCAGAAGTCTACCTTTACAAGAGGCAAGGTTTGTGTTCCAGTCACTTCAGAACAAACGTACCTGTCTTTCGCAGTATGCCTTCATTAGTTTGCTGAGCGGGGTATGCCTCTTGATTTTGAACTGTACAACTGACCCATCCTGACCAGCCACCTTGAGGTTAATGTGGTCGTTCTCCGTCTTCACTCCTTCCTGTAACAAAAACCATCATCATTATCATCATCGTCATCATCAGCAGCAACACACCGGTGCTCAAGACGCCCCCCGTGATCAGATTAACCGGTGGCGATTAAGGCTGCACAATTCATGGAAATATTATGGAAATTGCAATATGCAAATCGCAGAAGGTAAAATGTGTAACAAAATATCCTTATAATGAAGTACTGGAGATCTGAAGAGACATCCGGGCCTTCAAATCTTGTTCTCCAGATGTAAGAAAACATGTACGGACCCCCCCCCCAAAACTGTAACATCATCGTGATTATAACAGTTTCCTTCAGGGAATATTACATTTGTGGTGTAAAAACGATCATTCTCACACTAACTGTGAATCATATTGCAATACCTGTTTGAGCAAGTTTCAATACGATGTCTTTATTATATCGTCCAGCAATCACCTGAACTGTGGGCGGAGGGTGTTTGTACTTAATTCATATATGACGACCACAGTTTAACGTGGAGACTAATGGATCCTGCTTATTGATACACACACACAGCACACGTACAGGGCAGGCGACACAGCAACACACACACACACACAGAGCCAAGACAATAAGGAACCAGATGGGAATGTATTGGGAATCTCTATACATTAAGAGAAAGGGCACTTCAGGAAATCGCTTCCTCTTCCTGTTTTCAACATCTGCAGTTACTTGAACGCAACCTGCCTGCGACGCATTCAGGTGTTCGTCCCCAGTTAGCGTTAATCTGAACACCGGCGTAAAGTAACAACAGCAGCAAACTTAAACTCACCGGCTTATTTTAAGTTAGATATCGTACAATACAGGAAGAGCTCGGTAGCAGAGGCAGGCTCAAACACACACACACACACAGATATATATAACGCTTAGCATAGCAACGCTAGCCCGAGCTCAAACTGGCGCAAAGCCACAATGGCGCAAATGAAAGAGGGAGAGAGAGAAAAACCAAATCATTCATTTCACTCGCAATTTCTGATAGCGACGTTGGCGAAACACAAGTTTAATTCAAACCAGTGAGTAGCAGGAGCTGGATGTGGGTGTTGGTGGGACGCTACAGCAACCCGAAGGAAAAACTGCGCCTGAAGCCGAAAAAGAGCCGCAAAACAAAAAAAAAAAAAAAAAAATCTGTCCACCTTTGTTTTCTCCGTCGACCCGCTCAAATGCGGTTTATCTGCGATACAGCCGGAGAGCAGGGGTAGCTTAGCACAATGCGCTAACGTTAACGCGAAACTAGCGCCAGTAGCTGCTCGCCGGTAAAGAGAAACAAACCACAGTACTGACCTTCGGCTTTTCTTCAGACATTGTGCTACCGACCCGGGGTGTATTAATAACGCGGAGACCAGGCTGTTAACGGGGGAAGCGGGTTATCGGTTCCTCCGGCTCTTTCCTTTGGACCGGGAGCGCGCACTGATATTTAAAATGTAATTCGACCAAAACGGTCACGTGTTCCACTTTTCCACGGGGCCGCGGGTACGAGAGCGCGCAAGGTAATATGCGCATGCCCGTGAGATAGGTTAAAAAAAAAAGAAAAAAAAAAAAGGGGCCCCATTGTAAGGTGACCCCTTTTAGTCCGGGTCAGGGTCGCTCAGAGGGAACAACAATAACGATAAAAATAGTAAACAGATAGAGAAACAGAGAGACAACAAACCAACCAGGAATATGATTTTTTTCAATCAATCAATCAATCTTTATTTGTATAGCAAAATGTAAAGTGCTTCACACATTTTATCTCATCATATTCATACTCATACTCATATTATTTATTATTTTTATTATTTTTTATT